TCAAGGGAACCTCACATAAGATTAATATTCACATCATTCTTATCTGAGAAATGAGCTATTTGAAAGGTGATGTAGGGCTTTTGCGCTCCTTCATCATGTAAATCCACATGTTCATTCGTTTAGGCATACCTCTCGCTACTGATTTGCGTGGGTTATCCCCAAATAAATTAGCAATTTATTTTCTGAATTTCCTAGCGGTCGCAATGGGACAATAATATGCATCATCAATGCTCGATGCCTAGAAATAGCGGCACACCCTTGAAAATAAGTTAATGATCATTACAATAGCTAAATTGTCCGCAAATGTTGTGATTTCCGCACTTCCCCCCATGACGAAACAACCAGTTTGTACCGCAATTATCGACCAACATCGTCCCTGTGATGAACGCGACAAAAGGTCCTTGTTCGTAGCGGATTCACACAGATTATCGATGTCAAAACAGATAGGTACTGGGGATTAGAGTTATGCTAGGGATGATGCCGCATATCTTACGTTTCAAACAGAACAATTGAAAATGGGGATATAGGAAAGTAACAGAATATTTTATTAGCAACGATTACTCTCATTTCAATGGAAGGTGTGACGTTTGTTTACAAAATTGATTCATCATACAGCTGTTCTTATAATAGAAAATTGGATTTTTAGACAGCGATAGTCACGACAATTAAGGTTTCTTGTTGTGTGACTCATTTCATTTCGAATTTTATGGTTATTAAGCTCGGATAAATCTGCTATCAAAAACTAACCACCAAGTTCATGTCTCTTTTCATAAAAGATTATTATTCTGATTGGCTAATGATAACTGAGGTTCTCTGCGGTTATTATTGGGATTTTGGGATATGTCGAATGCGACCCGTGTGCGGTGAGGACAAATGTCTGATCTGTTGGCCAAATTGTTCTTTTTCGTCCCAGTTTTTGGATCGTTGGAATTTCTAGTTAGCTGTTGAATTACTATGCAAGTTTGACTTCATGTCTGGTGGATATCCGCTAATTTGGAACTATCATTTCCAAACAACATGCAAGTATTCCAGTCGTGATCACTTTGTTTAATACCCTGGAACAAAGTTTGCAATATTCGCAATTTTATGCTTTTGGTTTCACTTTGCAAATGTCTGAGATTTCTGGATGCTCTATAAGCGCTCGGTTTGAAATTTAATTTCGTTGAGAAGTGCTTGCCTTCTTCATATCAATGTTCAAAATAAGTTGTATTTTCCTCTTGGTGTTCAGCAGGCTATCATATTTGATCTTACATGGAAAACTTCTATTAGAAAAAACAGGGAGGGGAGGAGAGGAGGATTGCAGAGAAATGAGTCAACCCTTTAAACGATCTGACAAAAGCTAAACTTCTGGCAATCATTCGTCAATCATCAAAGCAATTAATTATAAAGTTAAAAACGTGCGGGTCAGAACTTCATCTCATCCATCATAGGCTTTCCAATCTTGCGCGTACCGACTATGAACCTCTGTGGTGCTAGGTCAGTTTCATCCATCAACGCAGATGAACGAAGCTGAAGCGGTTAATGTGAAATGCATGTGCGTCAATTTTATGATAAATTTAAAAGGCAAAAAACCTTCAGCGTTCTGCATAGCGCGTTGATGCGTTACACAGTGAGCTTATGTGGATGACAATCTTAGTGTCTGCGGAGATTGAAGGAAGTGAGATTATGCCATCATCTTGCCGAACTTCAGTTTACTGAGGATTTAGAAGAATGCAATATAAATACGACAAAGTTGAATAGCAAGGGGCTTTTGCTTAAGTTTATATTTGGTGTGGACATGCATCTACGAAGGGAGATTTCTCTGAAATAATGTTGGGAGCCCACAGAACAGAAAACTTTTTTTGGGATTCCGGAAACTATTGGAAAAAAGCAATTTTCCATTGTTGCATACATGTAAATTGCAGAAGTAACTGCACAGAGTGCTACTAGTGCTCCCAAAATAGCAAAATTTTTTTTCTCGTTGTAGTTCAGGAGCACTTAACCCATTCTTCTAACAACATCGTAGCCCGAAGCATTCAATAAGCTTTCCA